GAAAGTTGAAGTCATTTAGGATTCTAATTTCCTTTGAAAACTTGAACCAAACATGGGAAAGTGGTGGAATTGGATTCCAATTCCCCCTAATTCCAATGGATTCATACGAACCAAACGCCTCATTAGTATGAATTTCTTAATTTTGCACACATAGTGCCCATATGGAAATTCACACATTTAGTATGAATTTCTTAATTTTGCACACATAGTGTCCATACAGAAATTCATACACTTAGTATGAATTTCTTAATTTTGCACACATAGTGCCCTTATGGAAATTCATATACTTAGTATGAATTTCTTAACTTTTTATACACAAAGTGTCATTCGGTAATCACTATACATATATCAATCAATCATACATTTATGACTATCGTACACATAAGTACATATTAAATGCACTCACCTGGCTTGCCTCACTATGAAATCCAAAATGCAAAGTTGATTACTCAGGTACTTGGCCTTTGCTTTTTCTTTTGCTTGACTCTAGAGCTTGATTTCGATCTACTTAAACATAAATCAAATACACGTAACAATTATACTTAAACATTACTCATTAGTACATATTATTAAATTTTATATAACAATATCAACCTATTTTAAGATTTCTGGCTCAATAGTATCGATACCTCTGTCATGGTATAGATACTACTATACTATGGTACTGATACTCTATTACGTCATCGATACCATTTTTGCATTATGCAATCAATGGTATCAATACCTTCCTCATAGTATTGATACTCCCCTTTCGGTATCGATACTTCTTACATCAATATCGATACTTCTCGCACCAGTATCGATACTTCTCAACTGATTCTTCCAATTTCAAGCCTATAGTATCATTACTGTTCTATCAGTACCGATACTCTTACCCATATTTTCTATTTTTCAGCCTGATTCTTACCCAAATTTGGTCAAATTTCCTTATGCTTACACCCAACAATGCCATTAAACTCTTCTTTGTTTATCCCTACTAAATTCCCTTCATTTAGCTTCTTAAAATACTTAACATCTCCCAAGAACATTTCAAACTAAGAATCACACCACTTTTTCTAACTTGTTTTTAAACCCATCCAATGCTTCTAATCTCTCATTTACCTCTTTGACAAGTCAAATCTACTAATAAACATCAATAAACACTCATATCTTAACATATCATTTCAAAATTCATTTTCTTAAATCTCCATTATTTCCTCTATCTCATAGTTTTAATCTTATATAACATTTCTTTAAGCTTACCTATCACTTAAGTTTGCAAGAACCAACCAAAATCGAAAGGAAACACTAACCAAATAAAATCTTACATTTGCTATGGATGAGAGCTTTTTCCACGGGGAAAGAAAAAGAAAAGAGAAATGACTTTTGGTAACCTATTTTCCCCTTTCCCTTCTTTACTTTAAAACCTTATTAAAACAAATTTTAAATTCATTTTCCCCTTAAAAGACCAAAATGCCCTCTTAATCATCCATTATTACAATTTAGTCTAAACCATTAATCCAAATCATTATCATCTTTTATCATTTAATCAAATAAATCCTCAAATTTTTAAATCCTTTCAATAAAGTCCCTAATTCGATATTTGGGGCATTACAGGAGAACTGTGAGCGTTTAATGAAAGTCAATCAAGTATTCCGAAAAAAGTGTGGACTTGTATCAATCAAAGGCGAGTTTCGTTGTGCAACAATATTTGTTGAAGAAGCAACAAGTTGGTTTGGAACAAAAGTCTAAGTTGGATAAATATTTAGATGAAGAGGAAGATGAAAACAACTCGAGTTCATTTGATTTATTAATTGTGGTGGAAAGTGAATAGTCCAAGATACCTTGTTCTTGCACAAATGGCTTGAGATGTTTTCTCGATTCCTATTTCGACAGTTGCCTCAAAAAGTGCATTCAGTACCGGTGGACGTGTTCTAGATGGTTTTAGAAGTTCATTAACTCCGAATATGGTTGAAGCTTTGATTTGTACTCAGAATTGGCTTCGAAAATCTAAAGATCCCATCAATCTTGACGAGTATTTTATGAAACTTCAAGACATGGAAGATGGTAATATTTTTGTTTTGATTTGTAATGTTAATTTTTTTACTTTATTTATATAATAAATTTATTTATAATTTAACTAACATGTTTGTTTTGATTTTTTTTAGATTTATCAAGTATAGTCGATAAAGAATAAGTTTTTTAAAGCTACCGATAGTGCATGAAGAAGAAGATGAAGTTTAAGGTCTTTGACAATATAATTCGAGAACTCAAGATGTTGTTTGTTGTTTGACTTTTTAGACTATCATCGCTTTGTTTTTATTTTTTTGTATCATTTTGTGATGTTAGATTTTCTAAACTCTACTATGTAATTGTTCGATTTAGTTATTAATATATTTTGGGTACTCTTTTCCCTCCTTCCACTGTCTTTGGTTTTGCTTCGGCATGACTTGAATAAGAAGGGGGTTTTAATGAGACCCTTTTTAAATGAAAAAATATTATTTTATAGAGAAACTCAAATAACTCGACTCGAAAAAATATCAAGCAACTCCGAGTTGTAAAATATGACTCGTCAACTCAAATAGCTCAAAAGTTTTTTACTCAACTCGACTCAAGTCCATTGAATGCTCACTCCGACCTAGGGATGGCAACAGGCCGGGTTCAGGCCAGGTATTGGTCCCCCCGTCCCCGCTTAAAAAACTGCGGGGATTTAAACGGGGATCCCCATCGGGTAATCGGGGAAAATCGCGGGGAAACGGGTATCCTCGTTTAGCATAAACGGATATCGGGCCGGGTATCGGGCCCGATATATATATTTAAATTAAATATATAAATATTATATATATTTTAATTTAAATTACATTTATTAATATTATATATATATATAATAATTATTTTTAATATTTATCGGGTCGGGTAATCGGGGCGGGGATTACCAAACCCGTCCCCATCCCCGTTTAGCATCCCCAAATCCGACCCGTTTAATTCGATTTTCGGTTTTTCCCGTCGGGTTCGGATTTTTTTGCCATCCCTACTCCGACCACTGTTTTTCAAGTTAAAGTTGTCAAACTTTAAGACTAACTTGAACCCAAAAAATAATAAAGGTAAACCATAAGTTTAGTACTTAAACTATTACTTTTTATTCTATTTTGATATTTAAATTTTATTTTTTCTGAAAATCATATCTAACGTTTTATTTAAGTTTAATTTTGATACTCTTTGTTAAAAACTTAACATAACTGACGACGTATCGTTTTTTCATTGATGATCTAACATTACCTTATGATGACACGTCAACATCACCTTTAAGTTTTTAATGATGGGACACCAAAATGAAATATAAACTAAACGTTATTAATAATTTTGAAAAAAAAAATGTTTAGATATTAAAACATAACAAATATAATATTTTAGATACTAAACTTGTAGTGTACCTAAAAAATTAATCAAATTGAAAAATGTTGTTGAGTTTAGGGTAAAATATACAAATAGTCTCACTTATAGGGTATTTTTATCGAGTTTTTCAATTATGAAAAGTTACAAAATAGTCATTTGATTTAAAAAAAAAGTAATAAATCGATCCTTTTTCGTTAAAAAATTATACATTAATAAAAAATTTAGCCCTCAACTTTCACATATTATCATAATTTAGTCCTAATTCTAAGAAATTAGCCTCAATATTTTAAAATCACATCAATTTAATCCATTTTCTAACACATTTTCATTATTATCCCCTTCACAGTCATCTTTTACCGTCTTGACGGTCATCGTTCCTTCACCATCACCACCATCCATCATCATTCTATGGTTGATAATGGCACCAATTTCAAAAAGAAATTATAAAAAAATTACAATCTTCAACCTCCATTGACATTTATGCTCTTCACTCTGATTCTGCTTCGCCATCTCAAGAGTCCAAAAAAAAATCCCAATAAAAACACCCTAGTCCCAGTCACCGTTCTCCTCCTTCATTCCTAGGTCGATGTCGTCAAGATTCAATTGATTTATCGAGCTCGAATCATATGTAACTTGTACAAGCAAATTTGTTTGTGAGCTCCGAGGCCAATAATATCCAACACTTAATCTAACAACAAAATATATTATACTCCATCGGGATGATGAGAAAGAGAACCAGGGATAAAGGAGACTTTGATGGGTCATCTGTTGAAACTCGATTGGATATCGAGGATTGATCTGGTGCTGAGGGAAGCGAGGAGGAAAGTGAATTGTAGGATCATGAGGTTTTAGGAGATCGCGGACAAGATATTACAAGCAAAAATCAATAACGATGAGGAATATTACATGTGGTGAGGGATTGAGATGTAATGGTGAATGAGATGGAAAAGTTGTGCAAAGAGAGAGGCGCAGGTGAGTTGAGATGCTTGCAAAGGTTCATATAAGAATGGTTTTTTTGAACGACGACGATTGATGACGATGGTGAAGAAATAATTACTGACATGACGCTGAAGGATGATAGTGAAGGAGATACTCCTGAAAATGAATTAAAAGAGGGATTAAATCAGTATATTTTAAAATATTAAATATTATTTTTTAGAATTAGGAGCAACTTGTAACAATTTGTAACCAACTTATCTTGCTCCTTAATTCTTTCGCTCGCTTTTCCACTTCACTTGAATCATCGAACCTCGTCTCTGGCTTCACCATCGACAACGCCATCTCCATTTCCTCCACCAATAACACTCGGTTGAACCTTTGTTCTGCGTAGAGCGACCACGCTACCACTGAAACGCCGACGGAAACAAATTCTAGCGCTGAGTTCCAGTCATGGCAGGGGAGGACGCACAGAAAGTTATTATTTTTTAAGTAAAATAATCGTTTTATAATTGAAAATTATAAAAAAAGCTCTTTATAACTAAAAGACTATTGGTGTATTTTATCCTTAATAGCAAGATATATAATGCACTTGCACGTGTGTAAAACGCACACTTTTAGACGCGTGGAGTGTTCGGGTAAATAAGAAGGTATGTAAATTAAGGAGCAATAAAACGATTGAAGTACCGAAGTAATATGTTTGCGCCTCTGCTTTTTGTCTCAATCCATGTCCACCGTTATCCATCCCCAAAAGCGCCCTTTCCTCCGCCACTGTTTCCCTATCAAACCACCGCCAGCTCCACCGTACTCCTCTTTTCTCCCGCTTCCCAAACCCAAATCTCACCACCGCCAGCTCCTCCTCTCCTCCCCCACCTCACTCTCTCGGCACACGCTCCCTAAAGCACCCCCCATTCTCAATGACATTAATTCCTTGCTTTCTTTACTTAACCTCTCGGTCCAGTATTCTGACGCTGACCTGGCGAAAGCTATTCATGCATGCTCTCTCAAGTTTCCAGAAGATAGCTATTTGGGGAATTCTCTAGTTTTAGCTTACCTGAAACTGGGTCTTTTAAATCTTTCTCTCAACGTTTTTGTCTCTCTTTCTTGCCCCAGTGTTGTAACATACTCGTCCTTGATTTCGGGTTTTGTGAAATCAAATCAAGGGAGCAAAGCGATACGACTTTTTATGAAGATGAGGGCTGAAGGTATTGATCCTAACGAGTTCACTTTTGTCGCAATTTTAAGTGCTTGTGTTAGAATTTTGGAGTTAGAATTGGGATTTCAAGTTCATGGGTTAGCTATCAAATTGGGTTTTTTGGATAGTACTTTTGTAGCCAATGCTTTGATGGGCTTGTACGGGAAATATAAGGGGGGTTTGGGGTTTGTTTTTAATGTGTTTGACGAAATGCCTGGAAGAGATGTTGCTTCGTGGAATACAGTGATTTCAAGTTTGGTTAAGGAAGGGATGTATAAGAAAGCGTTTGAATATTTCCGTGTAATGCAAGGAATTGGTTGTTTTAGAGCTGATTTTTTCACTATTTCCGCTGTTTTGAGTGCTTGTCAAGGAAGCAATGCTTTTATGAAAGGCAAAGAAGTTCATGCTCACGCCATTAGAATTGGATTAGAGGGTAATTTGAGCGTGAATAATGCACTTATTGGACTTTATACTAAATGTGGTAGTGTAGGAGATGTGGTGGTTTTGTTTGAGAGCATGCCTGTTAGGGATGTTATTACTTGGACTGAAATGATTACTGCCTATATGGAATTTGGTTTGGTGGATTTGGCTGTGGAGGTTTTCAACGAGATGCCTGAGAAGAATTGCATTTCTTACAATGCTCTTATGGCGGGATTCTGCAGAAACGGTGAAGGTTTGAAGGCAGTAAAGTTGTTCATTGAAATGGTGGAAGAAGGTTTAGAATTAACTGATTTCAGTTTGAGCAGTGTTATTAATGCTTGTTCGTTGATCATGGATGCAAGTGCTAGTGAGCAAATTCAAGGCTTTTGTGTCAAGTTTGGTTTCGGATCAAATGTTCATGTTGAAGCAGCATTGGTAGATATGTGCATTCGGTGTGGAAGGATGGCAGATGCTGAGAAAATGTTCCACATTTGGCCTCTTGAACATGATAGCTCTGTTGTTTGTACATCAATGTTATGTGGGTATGCTCGAAACGGACAACCTGATGAGGCAATTTCCTTTTTTCATAGATGCCGACTAGAAGGAACAATGGATATGGATGAAGTAACTTTAACTTCCATCCTCGGTGCATGTGGAACTTTAGGGTTTCAAGAGATTGGAGAACAAATTCACTGCCATGCTCTTAAAACTGGGTTCATGACTGATTTAGGGGTGTTGAATTCCATGATTAGCATGTACGCCAAATGTGGGAACATGAATGGTGCAATCAAAATTTTCAGTGTTATTCCCATTTGGGATGTAGTTTCATGGAATGCTTTGATTGCTGGCCATATTCTTCATAGGCAGGGCGATGAGGCGTTATCTGTTTGGTCTAAGATGCAGGAGGCAGGCATTCAGCCTGATACAATTTCTTTGCTCTTGGTTATTTCTGCCTATCGACACACTAACTTGGATTTAGTGGACAACTGTCGTAGGCTATTTCTCTCCATGAGAACCAATTATGACATTGAGCCTACTTCACAGCATTATGCTTCCTTTGTTAGTGTTTTAGGACACTGGGGTTTTCTTGAAGAAGCAGAGGAAATGATCGAGAAGATGACTCTCGAGCCAAAGGCATCTGTTTGGCGTGCTTTGCTCGATAGTTGCAGAATTCGATCGAACACGAAGATAGGGAAACGAGTGGCAAAGCACATACTTGCAATGAAGCCACAGGATCCCTCTACATACATACTCATTTCAAATCTATACTCTGCATCTGGGAGATGGCATTGCTCTGAAATGGTCAGAGAGGATATGAGAGAAAAGGGTTTCCGGAAAAACCCGGCCCGAAGTTGGATCATTCATCAGAACAGCGTACACTCATTCTATGCAAGAGACAAATCGCATCACCAAACGAAAGACATCTTTCGAGGGCTGGAAATTCTAGATTTGGAATGCAAAAAAGCCGGCTATGTCCCGGACACGAGCTTTGTTCTTCATGAGGTGGAGGAGCATCAGAAGAAGGATTTCTTACTGTATCATAGTGCAAAACTAGCAACAACATACGGGCTTTTGATGACCAAGCGTGGGGAACCCATAAGGATTGTGAAGAACATCCATGTATGTGGAGACTGCCATACGTTTATGAAATTCGTTTCAATCATCACAAAGAGAGAGATCTTGTTGAGGGATGCATCTGGATTTCATTGCTTTCGAAATGGGCAGTGCTCTTGTAAAGATTATTGGTGATTTATCTTTTGCTATATATTCGATAAACCTCATTCAATGCTTTGGTAGTACGTAGTTTTATATCTTCATACATCTCTCTGCCTCTTTTGAGAGGTTTGAAAGGCAAGTGTTGTCATAAATGTATTTCTATGTCACAAGGTTTTTTGTAGGAAAAATAAATCATTTCTAAAGTTTTTTTTTAGATTTTATTTTTATTTTTATTTTTATTAAATTCAAGAGAAAACAATTCATCAATACACTTCTATTTTGTTAAATAAATAATATGTCTGAAAATGTGTACGACTTTTTTTTTAAAAAATTTGAGATACATGTTAACAACTATGGAGGCAATAAGAACACACATGTATAAGTTTAAGGGTCTGTTTGTTTCCCGTAATTAGAATTACGGAATTGGTTTTCCCCGAATTTCCGTGTTTATTTCAAGTAATTCGTTTTCTGGAAAATGTTTTCCCGTGTTTGTTTCACGTAATTTGTTTTTCGAAAAACGTTTTCCCGTGTTTGTTTCACGTAATTCGTTTTCCGGAATGTAATTCATTTTCCTAGTAACAGAATTTCCTTTGTGTTTTCTGTAAAATGACTTACGGATTCATTTTCCGTAAGTCATTTTCTGAATTTTTCACTTCAAAGCAAAAATACTCAAAATAATTTTATTTTATGAATTTAATATTAATAAAATATTTTAATATCATTTTCATCAAAATATTAATTATTAAAATATTTTTATTAATATTTTTAATAATATAATATTATATTTTTTAATATTATATAAAATAATCAATTATATTATAATAATATAAGATATTATATTTTTATTTTAATAATATATAATAAATTTTTTTATATATTTAATAATGAGTAATATTATTTATATATTTCAATAATATTTTAGTAAAGATATTTAAAATATACTAATTAATATTTTTAAAATATAATATAGCACTATTACTTTAATAAATAATTAATATAATTTATAATATTTTATAATATTTTATTTCACTAAAATATACCAATATTAATATTTTTTATTAATAAAATTATAAAATAATATTTAATATTTAATAATAAATAAATTATTTTAATATTTTAAAATAATAATATTAAGTTTTATGATAAATAATATTATTTATTATATTTAATATTTGTAATAAATAATTTTTAAAAATGGAAAAAATGTTTAAATAACATCTTCCAAACATCATAAAACGTTTTCCAGATGTTTTCCAGAAATGTAATTCATTTTCCAGAAATGTAATTCATTTTCCAGAAATGTAATTCATTTTACAGAAATGTAATTCATTTTACAGAAATGTAATTCATTTTCCAGAATTTAAATTCCAGTAATTCATTTTCCAGTAATTCAAATTCCAGTAATTCATTTTCTGGAAAACCAATTACAGCTAAACAAAAAGACCCTAAGTTTTATTTTTAAAATCAATAAGTACTTGTTTCAAAGACTATTTTAAGGAAAAATTCTATAGTACATGTCACGCACCGCAATGTACCATTAATTTTTATGGTAAAGTTTTTAAATGATCATTAAACTATACTAAAATAATACTTTTGAACATGAAACATTTAAAAGTTACATAATATCTCATTCAATTCCCATTTTTATTATGAAATGAACATCATGTCTTTAATTATTATTAAATGGATAGCGTAACATGTTAAATTAATAAAAAAAATCTCATTTGAACCCTCAATTGTAAACTAAATTTCGTTTTAATATTTCAAACTAATAATTCTAAAAAAATCAATTATACACACATATATATTGACGATTCATTTTTAAAATCATAAATGGTTTTTTTAATTATAACTTTATAAATAATCTTTTAATTCTAAAATTATAATTATTTTTTTAAATGAATGTATTAACTAACAAAATTTGTTATATTTATTTTTATTTAATTGTGATTATATTTGAAAATTTAATGTCACATTAGTCCTTAACGACAATTAAGTGTCAATACTTCTTCTTTTTTTACGAAATCCAAAATTTAATACTCATTTTATATTTTTTTTAAAAGTTATGACCAAAAAGATCATTTTTTCATATTTTAATGGCTATTTATAAATTTATTCCAGTGCATATCGGTGTGTGGAGTGCATTATAGACTCATCCTTATTTTAAATATTTAAAATAATATATATTGTTTAAAAGTCTATTTTAAATTTTTAAAATATTATATATTTCAATAATGTGAGATTTAAAATTCTCATAATCAAAATTTGTTAATTTTGAATCATCAAATATATATCTTAAACTTGATTAATCTCATATCAATATGGTAATTAAAGAATATTTTGGATTTGGTATCTCAAGTATTTAAAAAAATAATAATCGTATTTGATTATCGTCTAAACAAGTCCAAGAGATATCTTTAACAATTCAAAATTAATAAGTTTTTATCATAATAATTTTAAATCTCATATAATTTAAATATATATTTAAAAAAAATTAAATACATACTCTTAAACATATACTTATTAAATAATTGACAATAAAATTTATACATGCATCTCATCATTATTATTTATTATTTGGCTGACTTATATCTGTGTGTATCTTTGACACATTTTGTTCACAATACTTATTTTTAAAAGTTTGTCCAAATTTTTAATATTCTTTTATTTTTATTCCCATTCTTTTAATTTGATTACGTAAATATTAAAATTTCCATCTTAAGATTCTATCCTATCAATAAAATACATCTTACAAAATATAATCTACCGAATGTGCTTTTATTAAAAGAATACTACTCTCAAAATAATTTGTTAAATAATTAATATTTAAATAAATATTATTTCTATAAAATTATTCGAAAAGGATTTTTGATAGGAAAGTTTAAGGAACGACAATGTAATTTAAAGTTAAAAAATATGAATTTAAACGTAATAAAAATAATATTATTTTAAATTATATCTAACCTAAAATATTATAATTTTTATCATATTTTTTTAATTATATACTAAAATTACCGTTTTCTTAACTTTAAATTGAACTATCATACAACATATAATCCTCAATCTGTATGGTGCGGTGGTGGTAGGCACCAAAAAGGAAATTAGTATTGCAGAAGAGTGATGAGTCAGAAAACGGACGCCAACCTATCTTTCTTCTATCCTTGGCTTTTCAAAGCATACGTGGCAACCATGCCACGCTTCACAACAACGACAAATTCTCCCTCTCTCTCTCTCTCTCTTCCATAATTAATAGTTGAAGATAATTATCTTTTTTTATAAAAAAAATGATCCTTTTCTTATTTTACTTTTAAATAACAACGTATACTATTATTAGACAAAATTTTATAACTAAACACGTCAATCTTAGAAAGACAAGTTTGATATTTATATTAAAATTATGTATGACTTAATTTAGAATATTTATGTTTTAATTTACAATTAGAAAATACACTATAACTACAAATAATATAAATATATATGTATATATATATATATATATATTGATTAATATTAGAAATAATTCTTATAAAACATTTGGTATTCCTTTGCAGAATTCAAAGCTTCACCAAACAGAATAAATAAAATGAATAAGGTGAGATGCATCTATCATGCAAGCCTTACACGACTTCATGTGTTGAATCCAGATGCCCCACTTGGTAAAATTTGATCACTACTCCCTTCCAAATTTAAATATTGCAATTAAGTCATTAGGGAAATGGAAAGTTTTTACATTTGCCAACATAATCCAGAGCTTTTTTCTTATTAAATAATTATTTATCATATTATTTCAACTTTTTGAAAATCGGACCGGACCGGCCGGTTCAACCATGAACCGCTGCCAGGTTCGATTCATTCTACCCCAGCTAAATCGTTACTAGTAAACCGCAAGGAACCGCTGAACCGGCTGTGAACCGTTCGAACCAGACCAGGAGTGAACCGCTAAGAACCGACCATTAATAAAAAATTAAAAAAGTTAAAAAAACTGCTTTTGGGAACCGGTTGTAAGTTCCTTATTTCTAGGGTTTGGGCCGTTTAGCTATTTGGGAAGTGAACAAAGCAAGGAACGATTGAGAGTTGAGAGTTGAGACCAAGAGATTAGAGAACGAGAGATGTCAGAAACAAAACCCTTGACCGGTCGCGTTCGCCTCTGCTCCACGTCGGCGGTCGGTCGGCCATTGATACTTTGGTGAACGATCAACCGCCTCTTCTCCTATGCTCTACTCCACGGCACGTAGATCAACCAATTTTGCTATTTGGAGTTTTGGATGTTTGATACTTTGGTGATACATATATTTAATATTTGCATGGTTTTCAAAACGTTGAATATATGGCTATTAATTTCTTGAATGGTGTTATGATGTATAAGAGGATAATATTAAATATGTTCCAATGGTTCCACTTCCATCGATTGGAATAACAGTTAATGAACTTTGGAAAACATATTTAGTAAATATATTAAAGAACTATAAGTACGTGATAAATTCCCTTTTCAAGTATATGATATGTTTGGATCACTTTTGTAATCCATATATTTGTAATCTATATGTTTGAAAATGAATTATGTATTTATGTGTGGTTAATTTGGTTGTGTAGAGTAATGAGTATGGAAGAAAACAACAATGCAACACCATTAGGGGAACAAACAACTTTCGTTGCCCCGTCATCAAATGTTCGACTGAAGACAGACGTGGCTTGGAGATATGTTAATGAATTACAAGATGAACATGGAAGGAAATCATACTTCTGCACATTTTGTCAAAAAACTTTTCATGGTGGAGGTATTAACAGAATGAAACAACACCTTGCGGGAGTAAAAGGTAATGTTTGTGCATGTCCGAAGGTACTGGGGGATGTCAAAGTTCCTATGCAAGGTAATTTGGAGGATAATAATATAAAAGCAAAGGAGAAGCGCGGTTGTTCTTCGGGAATACGTATTAATTTGGATGAAGATGAAGAAGTACAAACACAAACAACTAAAACGAGCAAGAGGAAAGCTTCTTCAAACTTGCAATCATTCTTTAAACGAGGTATAAATGATCTTTCTCAACCTTCGATTAAATCTTCTATGCAAAGTAAAGAGAGATCACATGATACGAATATGGCTCTTGCTTTGTGGTTTTACGATGCTTGTATTCATATGAATGCTGTGAATTCTCCACTTTTTCCAATTGCTATGAGTAAGATAGTTAGCATGAGGCATGGTGTAACATCCTCAATACCGGGTTAGTGACCAAATTGTAAAGTTTTAGAATTTGGTGACTAAAGTATAAGAATGAAATAGTTCAATGATTATTGGATATATATGATGAAGGTTAATTAGTAATTATTAAAGGAAATTAAGGGTTAAATGGTCATTTGACCAGAAGATTTTTATCTTTCTTTTAAAGGTGATATAAACGTGGGAAGGGTGAGAAGAAAAGAAAGTTCTGGAGCTGGGTCATTTCCTTCCTCCTCTCTTCCCGTATGCTCCATGGCAAAGGTAAGTTTAATTTCAGTTGGTTAATTCTGGAGTTTTAAGCTTAGTTTTGATTCTTTGGGTATTAAATAAGCTTAAGGAAAGCTTATATGGGATTTAAACAATAAGATAAAGGAATTATGAAGGAATTTGCAATATGAGTTTTAAGATGAAATTTTGATATGGTATAGTTGTTGAAGTTTTAGGGATGAATTTGACTTGTCATCAATCTAATTAAGAAGTATGAAGTGTTAGAATTGGAATTAGAACACATTGAAAATTTGGTATGATTCTTGAATCTCATATGGAAGATAGGATTTTGAGGTTTAAGATGAAATAAATGAATATAGATTGGTTTAAGTATGTGTACTAGAGTTAAGAATGAAAAGGGGATGATATATGAAGTGTTTGAGAGGAAATGAAGTAATTTTCGGGTTGAAAAATGATTTATGGGTTAGGGGGAATAGGTACCCATTCAAAGGGGTATCGATACCCTCTCAAGCGACAGAATTCCATAATGTCATGAGGGTATCGATACCCCCAGTAGGGAATCGATACCCCCCTAAAGGAAATTGTGAATATGGGTTTAATAAGTTCGTTTAAGTTGCTAGTATCTAATTACAAGGTGTAGGTATCTAATGATTGCCTCAAAATGTACATTTATGTAGATTCTGCGCGTAAAGCAATTCCAGAACATTTGGCAAGTAAGATCGATCAAGGGAAAGATAAGAGATTGAAATTGACTAGTGAGGCCAGGTGAGTGCATACTAGTGATATGTAGTGTTTAATGGAAATAAGACTTGCGATGAGTCTATTTCCTAGAGTAATATGCATGAAGTCATGGACATGATTATGTGTGGTTATAATTCTATGTGATTATATGTATTACATTGATTGTATGTATGCATGACTAAAGATAATGATATGCTTTGTATATGCTATATGATGTATGTAAGACTTTAATATGTAATAATGGAAGAACATGAGATAAGTTATATGATAGAGTCATAAGAAATGAAATGAACATGAGAGAATAAGATAATCAAGTATAAGTTATAGGATATGGTATAAGTGATTATACGAGAAATGTTAGGAGACTCTAAGAGAATAGTATGAATTCGAGGGCATAAATAAGGATACATAAGTAATATAGGGAATATTGATAAATTAAAGGAAACTATGGTTTATGTATTATAGTGAAGAGCTACAAAGTTTTATTAAAGAGTATTGGGGAAGTCATGAGAAATTGAACTAAATAAATAGATGGTTTATGTGAGTGAAAAAGGAAAATGGTATAAAATAAATGGAAATTATTTATAAGATAGCATGAGACTAATTGAACATGTAATATAAACTTTATAAAGGAGTACTTGGGTAAAATCATTATATGATACAATTATAGAGTATTACTATACAAATTATATTAAAATATGATATATGAGAATATGAGTAAGTTTATAGGATATTGATAGGACATATAAGAATATTTAAATGTATGCTGATATGAAAAAGGGAATACAAAGAAATGGAGCATAAGGTAGATAATATGATATCAGTTATTATATATCTATATGAGATATGTCATCAGGTAATATGAAAGGACTTTGAAAATTGATATAAGCTACGTGAAAGTGTTCTAGGTGTTTCTATATGTTATATGAAGTATATGATCTTATGTGAACAAGATATGATAAGTATGTTTACATGAATAAATGTGATTGGGTGAGAAATGATAGAAATTATATGAAAACATGATATATGTGACATGTGAATTATATGGAAATGATCTACGTGTAAGTGAACTATGTGACTATGTGATAATATGAAAAGAAGCTATGTGATACGTGACATGTGAAAGTAAATTACAAGTTTATGTGAATATTTGAAATGAAATAAATGATAACGCCCATGTTATGTGTCATGAGAGCTAGGGGTATAGTTGGCATGCCAAGAGTCGAGGGTTTACGCGGTCCTTCGGGACATATGTATATTCTTTGGAACATGTGTGAAGTCTTGAAAGACACATACTTGATCCCTAGTATATGTATATGATTCTTAAGGAATAATATGTGGTCCTTATGGATATTATTATATGGCACTACGGTGCAATTCTACGCGGTCCTTCGGGATATATATATATTCTGTGGAACATGTGTGAAGTCTTGAAAGACACATACTTGATCCCTAGTATATGTATATGATTCTTAAGGAATAATATGTGGTCCTTATGGACATTATTATATGGAACTACGGTGCAATTCTACGCGGCACTTCGGTGCAATTATACGAGCTGTGGTGACAGCATTAGTGCACAACCTCTATAGACTCACATATCGATAGTTCTCACATATGTACATGGGCTAATCCAAAGATATGAACAAATATATGTTAGTGGTATGATAAATGTTATAGAAATGATATGATGTTGTGTGTGTATAGTGTTTGATTGAAAAGGTTAACCATAAAAGTATGTGATTACATGATAAACTGTTAATGATGAATTATGTGTATGTATGTATTTACTGTAATTAATCTGATATGATTTTATATGATACGAAGAAAGCATGGAATTGGTATAATATGATAGAACAGAGCATGCATGTATTGATATATGTTATAAGTGCATTATAAGTTGTTATGCCTCACTAAGTCTTCGACTTAGCGTGTGATTGTTTCACACGTAGGTTTCAAGAAGAGTAAAGAGTAATGCGGAGCAAGACAGGTCAGTTCTCCTTACCAAATGTCAGATCAGAAAATATATGTTCTGGTTATAGACTGTAGTTGGCATGTAGTCTAAAGATATAAATTGTATGAACTCTGATATATTTTGTAAACGTTTTGAATAAGTTAAATGTTATCAAAGTTTTTAAATTACTCACTATTTTATACGAATAAATGTTTGAAAAGTCAATGTGACACTTCGGACTCATATCCGGGTCGGATACGGGTCGGGGGTGTTACATTTAATGGTATCAGAGCTATGGTTTAGCCGATTCTCGGCATAAACCAAAGTCCAAAGTGTCATAAAAGATGTACATGCCAACATAGATTGAAAAATTTCTAATCTGATAGTGTAAGGAATATGTTGTCTTGCTAATAGAATAAGAATAGTTTAATACAGTAGAAATCCGATCGTGATAATTTCGAAGTAAGTGAAAGGTGATATTCCTGATTGTGATAGCTGCCCTGGCCATGCAGGATGAAAAGCGGACACCTCAGGAAATGCCTAGTTAGATCAAAAGTTGATTTCAGAAAGCTGAAATCATATCTGAATAATGATAAAAAGTTTTCATCGTTTGGAATCGGAAACACGATATAGAGTAGTTTTGTTATTATGTGGATAAGATAGAATATGGTGAACAGGTGTCACCATAAGAATGTTAAAAAGATCTAACGACGTGATGAGTACGTATAGAAGAACTCAAGGATAAGTGCATCAGTGACAAGTGTATAAGATGTATAAAGTCAAAGCTTATGAGTTTGAAACGAAGTGATAGTATTACGCATAAACAAGAGTATGTTTATGATAAGGGTTTGCAGTTAAGATGGAAAGAGTTAGCATTGGCTAACTAGAGTATGTGATAAAAATGTACTGGAATTATAAGATTATAAGATATTGTCATGATATGATAACCAGATCTGCAATGGATCTGGATATAGTTGCATATTTGGATCATAGTAATGTGGTATAGTAAAGGAAAAGGAAGTTAGAATTTGTATATTTAAGTAAAGCTGAGGATTGATAAGAAGTGTTTGAGAATGTTTATATCGATGATCAGATTATAGGATACAGGAAGTCAGAATGTTGAGTTTGAGCAAAAGAAATTTCAGGATGTATGAGAATAGAGGTGAAATTGATAAGTTGAGTAAGCGAATTTTGAGATAATTTAGATTGGAAAGGATGTATATGATTGGTATAATAGGGCTTGTGCCCTAGATTGAACAAAAGTTATTATCTAGATGTCAGAGTAAAGGTGCTAGAGTTATAAGATTGGAGGAAAGATAAAGTGGAGTTAATTGATTATGATGTGAATTTGAATATAGTTGTATATTCTGAGCAGATAGCTATGATGTAGAAACAGAGATAAGTATTTGCATGGAACCTTCAGGAAGGAAAATACAAGTATAAGAAATGATAAAGAATGAAGTTATGTATAAGAAATGGGTTATTAGAGTAATGAGGATGCAATGAAGATTGGTACATAAAGATGAGTATAAGTGATAAGACAAGAGTATGTGAATATGAAAGGAAATATATGATTTATGTATAAGGAAGAAGGAATAAAGAAATGAAATGGATTGATTTAAAGGATCAGATACGATAAATATGGAAGTACAGAGGACAATTTTGATATAGAAATAAGACAAGTGTGCAAGGTGATGTGAAAATATTGTTTGACTCCTTAAAGTATATGTTTAATCACATTGAAGAAGATTTAAAGTTGTGTTTTGGTCAAATGATGACGAAATACAAGTTTGGTATGGTTATAAGGTAATTAGAGAGTTATGAAGAAATAGATAGATTTATGATATAGAGATGAATGTATAAACGAAAAAGATAGTTGGAAAACTAAAGGATTGAAAAGTAAGTTTCTGATGATGACAAGAAAGAATAAGTCAGGGAAGCAACATAAGAACATTAGAAGATATGTTCCTATTAAGATATGCAGTGAAAATTCGAGGACGAATTTTCTTATAAGGAGGGGAGATTTGTAACATCCTCAATACCGGGTTAGTGACCAAATTGTAAAGTTTCAGAATTTGGTGACTAAAGTATAAGAATGAAATAGTTCAATGATTATTGGATATATATGATGAAGATTAATTAGTAATTATTAAAGGAAATTAAGGGTTAAATGGTCATTTGACCAGAAGATTTTTATCTTTCTTTTAAAGGTGATATAAACGTGGGAAGGGTGAGAAGAAAAGAAAGTTCTGGAGCTGGGTCATTTCCTTCCTCCTCTCTTCCCGTATACTCCATGGCAAAGGTAAGTTTAATTTCAGTTGGTTAATTCTGGAGTTTTAAGCTTAGTTTTGATTCTTTGGGTATTAAATAAGCTTAAGGAAAGCTTATATGGGATTTAAACAATAAGATAAAGGAATTATGAAGAAATTTGCAATATGAGTTTTAAGATGAAATTTTGATATGGTATGGTTGTTGAAGTTTTAGGGATGAATTTGACTTGTCATCAATCTAATTAAGAAGTATGAAGTGTTAGAATTGGAATTAGAACACATTGAAAATTTGGTATGATTCTTGAATCTCATATGGAAGATAGGATTTTGAGGTTTAAGATGAAATAAATGAATATAGATTGGTTTAAGTATGTGTACTAGAGTTAAGAATGAAAAGGGGATGATATATGAAGTGTTTGAGAGGAAATGAAGTAATTTTCGGGTTGAAAAATGATTTCTGGGTTAGGGGGAATCGGTACCCATTCAAAGGGGTACCGATACCCTCTCAAGCGACAGAATTCCAGAATGTCATGAGGGTATCGATACCCCCAGTAGGGAATCGATACCCCCTAAAGGAAATTGTGAATATGGGTTTAATAAGTTCGTTTAAGTTGCTAGTATCTAATTACAAGGTGTAGGTATCTAATGATTGCCTCAAAATGTACATTTATGTAGATTCTGCGCGTAAAGAAATTCCAGAACATTTGGCAAGTAAGATCGATCAAGGGAAAGATAAGAGATTGAAATTGACTAGTGAGGCCAGGTGAGTGCATACTAGTGATATGTAGTGTTTAATGGAAATAAGACTTGCGATGAGTCTATTTCCTAGAGTAATATGCATGAAGTCATGGACATGATTATGTGTGGTTATAATTCTATGTGATTATCTGTATTACATTGATTGTATGTATGCATGACTAAAGATAATGATATGCTTTGTATATGCTATATGATGTATGTAAGACTTTAATATGTAATAATGGAAGAACATGAGATAAGTTATATGATAGAGTCATAAGAAATGAAATGAACATGAGAGAATAAGATAATCAAGTATAAGTTATAGGATATAGTATAAGTGATTATACGAGAAATGTTAGGAGACTCTAAGAGAATAGTATGAATTCGAGGGCATAAATAAGGATACATAAGTAATATAGGGAAGATTGATAAATTAAAGGAAACTATGGTTTATGTATTATAGTGAAGAGCTACAAAGTTTTATTAAAGAGTATTGGGAAGTCATGAGAAATTGAACTAAATAAATAGATGGTTTATGTGAGTGGAAAAGGAAAATGGTATAAAATAAATGGAAATTATTTATAAGATAGCATGAGACTAATTGAACATGTAATATAAACTTTATAAAGGAGTACTTGGGTAAAATCATTATATGATACAATTATAGAGTATTACTATACAAATTATATTAAAATATGATATATGAGAATATGAGTAAGTTTATAGGATATTGATAGGACATATAAGAATATTTAAATGTATGCTGATATGAAAAAGGGAATACAAAGAAATGGAGCATAAGGTAGATAATATGATATCAGTTATTATATATCTATATGAGATATGTCATCAGGTAATATGAAAGGACTCTGAAAATTGATATAAGCTATGTGAAAGTGTTCTAGGTGTTTCTATATGTTATATGAAGTATATGATCTTATGTGAACAAGATATGATAAGTATGTGTACATGAATAAATGTGATTGGGTGAGAAATGATAGAAATTATATGAAAACATGATATATGTGACATGTGAATTATATGGAAATGATCTACGTGTAAGTGAACTATGTGACTATGTGATAATATGAAAAGAAGCTATGTGATACGTGATATGTGAAAGTAAATTACAAGTTTATGTGAATATTTGAAATGAAATAAATGATAACGCCCATGTTATGTGTCATGAGAGCTAGGGGTATAGTTGGCATGCCAAGAGTCGAGGGTTTACGCGGTCCTTCGGGACATATGTATATTCTTTGGAACATGTGTGAAGTCTTGAAAGACATATACTTGATCCCTAGTATATGTATATGATTCTTAAGGAATAATATGTGGTCCTTATGGACATTATTATATGGCACTACGGTGTAATTCTACGCGGTCCTTCGGGATATATATATATATTTTGTGGAACATGTGTGAAGTCTTGAAAGACACATACTTGATCCCTAGTATATGTATATGATTCTTAAGGAATAATATGTGGTCCTTATGGACATTATTATATGGCACTACGGTGCAATTCTACGCGGCACTTCGGTGCAATTATACGAGCTGTGGTGACAGCATTAGTGCACAACCTCTATAGACTCACATATCGATAGTTCTCACATATGTACATGGGCTAATCCAGAGATATGAACAAATATATGTTAGTGGTATGATAAATGTTATAGAAATGATATGATGTTGTGTGTGTATAGTGTTTGATTGAAAAGGTTAACCATAAAAGTATGTGATTACATGATAAACTGTTAATGATGAATTATGTGTATGTATGTATTTACTGTAATTAATCTGATATGATTTTATATGATACGAAGAAAGCATGGAATTGGTATAATATGATAGAACAGAGCATGCATGTATTGATATATGTTATAAGTGCATTATAAGTTGTTATGCCTCACTAAGTCTTCGACTTAGCGTGTGATTGTTTCACACGTAGGTTTCAAGAAGTGTAAAGAGTAATGCGGAGCAAGACAGGTCAGTTCTCCTTACCAAATGTCAGATCAGAAAATATATGTTCTGGTTATAGAGTGTAGTTGGCATGTAGTCTAAAAATATAAATTGTATGAACTCTGATATATTTTGTAAACGTTTTGAATAAGTTAAATGTTATTAAAGTTTTTAAATTACTCACTATTTTATACGAATAAATGTTTGAAAAGTCAATGTGACACTTCGGACTCGTATCCGGGTCGGATACGGGTTGGGGGTGTTATAGTTCTCTTTACCAAATGTCAGATCAGAAAATATATGTTCTGGTTATAGAGTGTAGTTGGCATGTAGTCTAAAGATATAAATTGTATGAACTCTGATATATTTTGTAAACGTTTTGAATAAGTTAAATGTTATCAAAGTTTTTAAATTACTCACTATTTTATACGAATAAATGTTTGAAAAGTTAATGTGACACTTCGGACTCGTATCCGGGTTGGATACGGGTTGGGGGTGTTACACATGGGTACAACGGACCTTCTTATCATGATATACGTGTTAATTTGTTGAAAGATGCAAAACAATCGGTGCACCTTATTGTTGAGTCTTATCGAAAAAATTGGTCAGAAATGGGTTGCACAATTATGAGTGATGGGTGGAGGGATACTAGGCATAGACCACTTATCAATTTTCTAGTTTATTGCTCAAAAGGAATATCTTTTATCAAATCTGTGGATGCATCTGATATTGAAAGTAATGCACAAACGTTGTGCAACTTGTTTTCTGAAATAGTTGAAATAGTTGGTCCTAAGAATGTTGTTCACATGGTTACTGATAATGCTGCTAACTACAAAGCTGCTGGAAAATTGTTATGTGAGAAATATCCTTCTGTTTGTTGGTCTCCTTGTGCTGCGCATTGTATAAACCTGATTATGAAGGATATAGGGGAGCTGTCACATATTGATAGCTTAATTACTCTTGCTTCAAGGGTTAATGTTTTTATTTATAACCACAAGTGGTCGTTGAATTGGTTGAGAAAAAGACTTGGGTGGACAGAAATCATTTGTCCTGGTGCCACTCATTTTGGTACCACATTTATTGCATTAAAGAGCTTACATGACCATAAAAATGATTTACAAGCTATGGTCAACTCTATTGATTTTAAGAAAGTCATAAAATTGCCAAAAGCCATGGAAGTTAATCTTATAATTCTAGATGAAACTTTTTGGAAGAATTGCTTGATCTCGGTGAATGTGATGGCTCCATTGTTGAGACTTCTGCGTGTTTGTGACTCGGATGAGAAACCTTTTTTGGGCTAGTGTATGAGGGAATGTATCGTACGAAAAACGACATCAAAAAATATTTCGATTCAAAAAGGATTTATATATGTCGTATACCAATATAATCAAGGCTCGGTGGGATAGGATGTTGAGAAAGAGTCTTCATGCTACAGCTTATTGGTTAAATACAATCTTTCAATATGATCAAGAAACCTTTTGCCAAAAAGCAGAGGTTTTTTCAGGGGTCCTTGAGATGGTTGAGAAAAAGGCCCGTGATGTTGGTTTGAAGGTCACGATGCAACTCAGTAACTATCGTGAGCAAATTGGAACATTTGGTCCACCACTTGCAATAGCTTCTCGAAAGTGTACTCGTCTAGGTAAGTTTAAATAAATAATGTCTTTTATTATATTAATTATTTTACTATGCTAACTTTGTTACCATATTTTTAGATGAGTGGTGGAAACTTTTCGGTGGAGATTGTCCAGAGTTGCAAAAGTTTGCAATTATAATTCTAAGTCTAAATGATTGGAGAAATCGATTGGAGCATCAAAGGCTAAATGATCTTGTATATGTTCACTATAACTTACGTCTACAAAATAGGAATGATAGAATGTTTTTCTTGAAAGATGACAAGGTTTTTATTATCCTTTTTTTTTATTCTAAATTACGTTTGCAAACATATTAACATTTAAATATTATAGGCTCAAGTATGATAATCGGTCTTACGATCCAGTTGATTATGAATGTATTGATAAAACCGAAATTTGGGTGGTTGAAGAAGAAGGTGAAGGAGAGATTGACTTGGACGAGTTGGATAACATTGTTGAGGAAGAACCATGAAATAACGAGTCATCTACTTCTAAAATGCAAGGTTAGTATTTTCATAAACATTGTTATACTATTGATATTCTAGTATGTAGCATTTTTGTTACATCATCTTTTGTTTATTTGATGATCTAGGAAATGTAAACAATGATGATGATGACGACGACGACGACGACATTGCCATCCTTGAAGATCTTGATTTGTGTTCTTATCAAAATGCTCAAATGTTGTTGAAGTTTAACTTTATTTGGAAGGATATTGATATTTCGACTTTTATTTTGAAGGTTAATCAACTTTTGTTTTGGTTTTAATGTGTAATGTTTGGAGATTTTTATTAGAAGTAAATCAAGTAATGAATGATGGAATTTTGGTGTTGTATTTAAGTATTATAGTTTGGGGATGTTTTTAGTTTTTTATTAAATATTTTTGGTATTTTTATTAATTTTTTAAATAATTATGACGGCGTCCGGTTCTTCCGACCGGTCTGACCGGTTGAACCAGTAAACCGGTAGCACGACCGGTTCACTGATCGGTCCGATTCGCTGACCGGTCCGGTTCTGAAAACCATATTTTATTTCATCCAAATAAACCTTTATAAAAATAAATACTTGAAGAGTTCTATCTTTTTAATGAGATTGAGAAAGGAGAATTTGTTCCTTCCTCCGTTGTTGAAATTTGCATGTGAGGGCGTGATGTAAAAACACGCAATAATAGTATGCTGATGCTTCAATTTTGGCATTCTCTGTTAAAAGATTACAGATAATGCCCTGAAAGACCAAACTACCCTCTTCTTGCATGTTTTTCTTGATGTAATAGGAAAAAAACAAACATGATATAGGACAGTAATAGCCTTCTTATTTGTTATTTGATATAGGAAAAAATAAATCCCTAAAGTTTCAATGATGAGATGTCTGGAAAAAAATATGTTTGGTAATTATGAAATGTATATTTGTTATTAATAGAAATTCGAAATATATAATAAAAGAAAGTCGGCCTAGCTGCTGTGCCATTAAAAAGTGATGGGGTTTTCTTCTTCTTTTCGTATATTTATAACATCATGACATAATTTTAATGTTATTTGAATTTATAAAAAGAAATGAATTTTAAACCCATTAAAATAGTTTTTCTTTTTTCTTAAAGTTTCCATTATCCTCTCCTCTAAATAAGATTAGAATTAAACTTAGAATTTATAATAAAATATTAAATAATAATAAACTTATAATTAAAATTGATAATATAAAAAAATAAGATGATAACTTGAGAACTACATGATACTCATACTTAAACAATATATAAAAAAGTGAAGAGAAAAAAATCAAGCATGAGTACTTAAGACTCTACCTTTATTTATTCCAGAGCCTCATAATATTAGACTAGATTGGAGAAAAAATTACTAATATGTCTATATATATATATATATTATTTCGAGAGTTTGATTTCGAAAATTATCAAGTCTCTATCGAACATGTTTTATAGAAATTGTCAACTCTGTATTAGCTCATGCAGGTACAAATCTAAAAATAATTTTAAAGATGTATACATATATATTAATAACATAAAATATTTATATAAGATTGATACAAAATTTCAAGATGAACACCTTTAGTAAAATAAATTACCATCATAAAAAAATGAATTTTAGGGTGGGCATATACCGATCCTCACAAAAGCCTACATCCACCACCAAATTCAGGTATTTATACAAATCTCTCTATTTATTGGGTTGTCAAGGAACTCATATCTTCTAAGCACAAACTCTCGCGTTGAATAATTGTACCAAAAAAAACTTTTGATAGGTATATGTGGTAAAATAATTGTTGTTATTACTTGAAAATTCGGGTTCGAACACCATAGATGCCATAGGCGTGAGCGTTCAATGTCGAGAAGTTGAGAGTTACCTTTGAACAGATATTGTCTTGTACTTACCCCATAGTAATCTATATATATATATATATATTGACCTACAAATAATCATAATAATCCTACATTCGGCATTTTCAACTAAAAATCACTATAAATATCCTCAATCAAGACTCATAAAAGAGATGAACCTTCCACAACCTAGAGATTATTTCTCCCTTATATTTTTCCTTATGATCAATTTTCTCTCACAAAGAAACATCCATCAATGGTCGTTCACTCTCCGGTCACAACTCTTCACTTAAATTAGAAGAGGTAAACCGCCAACAACCGACAAATAAACTTATTCTCATCAATAACATATATTATGTATAATATTTTAAATAATATGATATGATTACAGGATAATACTTGTTTTAAAATTTTCTTAGTTTATTGACTACAAATACATTCGTTTGAATTTGAATTAATACGTAATTGATTCAAAAAGACATATAGTAAGTAAATATGAAAATCCCAAAATTTATATGAAAGCAAGTAGGAATTAATGCATGCAAGTACCAATCTGATTCTCTAATGAAAGCAAGTCCACTTTATTATTGTTATTGTTAATTAATATAAAAAAAGAGCGAGTGAAGGATGGAAATGGAAAATTGAAAAAGAAAGAAATGCATGAATAAAGAGAGGTAAAACAGGAGGACGCTTGGCATACATGTTTCTACTTTAAACCCCTCTTTCCTTTCTACCTGTTTCTTACTTATCAAACAGCCCCCCGTAATTTCACTCGTTTAACAACAAGAAATTCATCCCATATGGAAATGATTTCGGTAGCAGATAGATTGTAAATAGATACAGAGAAACAGATATTGTTTCTTCTTCTTCTTGTGTAGAAATGGGCGGGGATGGATTCAAAAACCGCTTTGCATGTTGTTTTTCAGCGCCAACGGCTTCATCATCTTCATCGTCGATCAAGCTCTTGTTGTTGACAGTTCCATTGATTCTTGTTTCCTTCCTTGTTTTTGCTTTGGTTCCGAGGAATTCAACTTCGCTTTTCACTTCAACCCTCCCTTCTGCAAATACCAGTGAGAATTTCGGTGCACTTACGCTCTCGGGATTTCAGTCCACGGCGGCGGATATTGTTCATGGCGGCTCGGAAAAGTCGGGACTGTCGGATGAGGCGGCGGCGGCGGCGGCGGCGCTTAATGGCTCAGCTTCTAAGTCACTTGATGTTGAAGCTGAAGTAGCGAAAAATCTGAAACTTGTAAGTGAATTTCTCTTTCATGAAAAGTATTTTTAATATTCATATCCTTATGGCCTATGGGGATATATTCCTTAGTAAGGGCATAATGGAAAAACACAAGAAGCATTGACTAAATCATGAGATAATTAATATTAAAATAAAAATAATAAAAACTCTTAACAAGCAAATTTCCTTTTTATTGTATGTTATTTTGTTTTATGGCTTTTTTCCTTTAATTTCCCCCTAACGTGGACAGATAGTACCTTCAATTTCAAATTACCTTCTTCATTAATTGGGTTCTAAGATTGGAATATGGGAAAGTACAATTAAACCCTTAACCTGGTCAAAACTAGTTTCTAAAAAATGACCGGTCCCTCTTTTTTACAAAAATTTCAGAAATTATATAGGTCCCAGTTAGGGATGTTCATGGTTGGGTTAATTCAGGTTTTTGGTTCACATGAATTTAATTTGAAAATTAAAATCTTCCACCAACACCCCGTTGGTCTAGTGGAAGGAGGTACTAGATTCCTTAGGTAAGGTCTGAAGTTTGAATCTTGTCGTTTCTGAATAGAGCAAACTGAGTTGAGAGGGTCGATCTCACCTCTACAATACTTTATCAGATTAGTTGATCAATAGATCAGATACCGATGATTAATTAAAAAAGAAAATTAAAATCCTCTACATATACATAACGCGATCCGGATTTAGGAGGGTTCTAACTCGAAACCTAACTGAAGTTATGAGATTAAAATGTGTACATGATCCAATCCGACCTATATATCTAATTTATTTTTATTAGATATCTAATTTATTTTTATTAGATAAAATAAGAATCTAATTTAGAGGTGTTATTATAATTATCCATAAATATATAATAATTATAAACATGAGTTATATAAGAATTGTAATTATTTCTTGAGGTCCCGAGTTCGAGCACTCTAAATGTCAGGATTATGAAAGTTTAATGTTAAATGGTTGAGAGTTATCTTAAAACATATATTATCTTATACCTCATGTTATTCGTTAAGTCAATTTTTTTTTACAAGTGATGACTCCATTGCATGAATCCAGCAGGAGAAAACAAAGGAAGAAAGTTCAAATATCACCATCAACGACCCCGATAGCTTAAACATTTCAATAGCCGGACCTGTTCCGAACGCTACCATATCCCTTCCCTCGAAACAAAGCCAACCAGTTCGAACCAAACTCGATAAACTCGAAGCCGGACTGCAAAGAGCTCGAGCCTGCATAAAAGAAGCTAAAAATGGGAGTCAATTACCGGACCCCGACTATGTCCCGATAGGTCCTATGTATTGGAATGCTAAAGCCTTTCACAGGTAAAAAGTCCAAGGAAAATATGCATTGTGTATGTGTAATAATATATAGCCATAATTTGTTTTCGCTATCGATCTATTTAATTTTGCAGGAGTTATCTGGAAATGGAGAAGCAATTCAAGGTGTTTGTTTACAAAGAAGGAGAGCCTCCGGTGTTCCACGACGGGCCTTGCAAGAGCATATATTCCATGGAAGGCAGTTTCATGTACATGATGGATGTCGATACCAAATTCCAAACTAATGATCCCCAAAAGGCTCATGTTTTTTACCTTCCCTTCAGTGTTGCAAAGATGGTCCAATTCGTTTATTTGCGGGACTCGCGCGATTTTAGTCCCATCAGGCGGACCGTCGTTGACTACGTCAATGTCGTATCACAGAAATACCCGTACTGGAATCGAAGCCTCGGTGCCGACCATTTCATGCTTGCCTGCCATGATTGGGTACGTGTTTCATTTCTTTAGTCTCTACTAACAAAGGATAGTGTATATTTATATTCATGTGGATATAAATATCCTATATGTCATACAGGGTCCGGAAGCTAGCTTTTCAATTCCTTACCTACAAAAGAACTCGATTCGTGCTCTTTGTAATGCAAACACATCGGAAAAATTCAACCCTGTGAAGGATGTTTCAATCCCCGAAATCAACCTCCAAACTGGTAAATTATCTGGTTTGATCGGTGGACCGTCAGCATCTCGAAGGCCGATCTTGGCATTCTTTGCCGGAGGGGTTCATGGACCTATACGACCTATCCTTCTTGAGCATTGGGAAGGCAAGGACGAAGACATTAAGGTACATAAATACCTTCCGAAAGGGGTTAATTACTATGAGATGATGAGAAGCAGTAAATACTGCATTTGTCCGAGTGGTTACGAAGTTGCGAGTCCGAGGATTGTTGAGGCGCTCTACAATGGATGCGTTCCTGTGTTGATCTCGAAAAGTTATGTGCCGCCTTTTAGCGACATGTTACGGTGGAAGGCATTTTCAGTGGTGGTTTCTGTGGACGATATCCCGAGGCTGAAGGAGATATTAACAAAGATATCATTGAGGCAATATATTCGATTGCAGAGACGAGTATTGCAAGTGAGGAGGCATTTCGAGTTCCATTCACCTCCGAAGCGTTTCGATGTTTTTCATATGATCCTTCATTCAATTTGGTTAAGAAGATTGAATGTTAGGATTAGTGATGATCGTACTGTTATGTTTAATTAGTAAATAAGTGTAATTTATTGTTATATTTCTGTTTTTTATTCGGGTTTAATTTGTATTTTGTTGTAATGATATATTGTATGTGTTACTGTTAAAGAGAATTGATTTGTGCTACAAAAGAAGAAAAAAAAGATTCGATTTGAATAATTGTTTTTATTTTATTTTATTTTTAAAAAAATTTGATCAAATAAATTTAGATTAGTTTCGATCAGGTAATATTGGATGTGTTTTTATTCTGATAAGTTTTTATTTATTTAAATTTGAATATTTAAACTTTTTTATAACACAAAAATGTTTTAATTTAAAACTGATGAAAAATTTAAAATATTTTTGTTAGTAATTTTCTTGAATAGTTTTTATTAGTATTTTTAAAAGCTAATAATTCAAATAAGTAAAATGTGTTTGTGAAAAACATAAGTAAAATGTTTAGTTAGTTTTGTTATACATTTTAAAATCAAAGTATATTTGCACGATCCAAGTCTTATCTTTAGAGATCACATGTTCAAGTTTTTATTAATATAATTATAAAAAAAATAAATTGAACTATTTATGCGTGTATGATGTCGGTTATTTATAACTCCAAAAGAAAACCAGTCGGTTATTCTTTTTTTTTAACCAGTCGGTTATTCTTGAAAAGAGAGAATCAGTTACTTATGGATATAGATTTTAATAAAAAAAGATTATATATTTAATGTAAATATAAAAAAATAGATTAAATTATTATTATTTTTTCATAAACCAAACTATCTATGGGGTTAAATGGAATATTGTTATCCATAGATATCTCATGTTCGAGCATTAGAGACTACAAAGGTAATTTGAGCTTTCATTGGCAAACAATTATGAATATTTAGACCATTTATAACATTGTGAATCTTTTGGTTTTTACTTGATTTAGCCCTCATTTGAAGTGAGATAACGATTTATGCTCATCAACCCTAAAAATAAAAACCGTTGCAATCTTGAAAAATGTAAAACAATTTAACATATATAGCAATTTCCCAATAATATATGAATGTAATTTCATTTTCAGTTGTATTCTATAAGAAAAATAATATATATGTATTTGTAAAAGAATTACATTTCCTACCTGGAAGAAGTTGCTGCCTTTGAGGGTTTCGAAGTAGACCGGAGATCTTTGGCAGGTTTAGAGTCTGCACTGATGGCAACATTCCCCATTGCAACCTCCATTGCCTCCATATCATCCATCTCCCCCTTCTTTTTCTCGGAAACAGCAACTTGGTTTTGCGATGAAGATCCCGATGGCTCTAAAAGTCGGGGGCCTGCATCGATCCATGGATGAAGAAGGCACTGAGCTGCAGTGGGACGTTTCTCGGGTACAAAATCAAGGATCGGGACCAGGAAGTCAGTCATGCCACTTGCATCTTGCTCGTTGAACTCATACTTTTCCACAAGCACCTTATTCAAGGGCCAGAAACGCAACCGACGGATGTGTCTTAAATCACCGTGTCGATTAAAGAAGTCCCGTGAATAACGGCCACCCAAGGCAATCTGCATACATTCCATGATTTAAGTTGAAATACAGTTCTAAGAAATCAAACTTCTTATAGGTAGAAATCAGAATTCTCACCTTGCGCGGCATCATTCCTAGAAGCTCCATCATCAAAGCTAAGTGGTCCTGCGCAGAGGGGATAAGAACATTGTATCCATCAAAGCATATATTTTGATTCAGAACCAAAACATCGTTATAAAGAACAACTTTCAGTCCATTTGTTTTTTAAGATTTTCGAGTTCAAACTTTCTCCATGGCACTTTGTAGAGGATTCAAATGCAAATAAAAATAACAGTTTTTGTAATAGTCCATGTTTTTCATTGGGCATATTCCTTTTAACATTTCAAAAGACCCAAAATCAGCTTAGGTTTAATGGTTAAAGAATAGCTCGCTTGTCCTATGATGGAACTCGGACCTGAAATTTAAATAGATAAAAATGCTGAACCAACTGAAGAACATTTGTGCTTCATAATAAATTAAATCAGTCATTACTCATTAGAGAAGTAAAACTAAAACATACAGCCGAAAGAGTAAGTAAATAGTATGCCATGCTCCTGTATGCACACAGCTTAACAAAACTATTCAGTGCTGCCAAAATACACATTTACAAATGCAGACATAAGTACAAGCATAAACAAAAAGCGTATACACAACGCAGATATTCTCAAATACATAAAACTAATACAAAATTTGATGGCACACTCCAAAGATTTAAGAATAATTTAAGGATATCCATAAATGCTACCCCACCATTCAGCAATTTCAGCTGTTTGTAGCTCTTTCAAAACTAAAACCTGAAACAGCTGAATTGAGCAGTGACTACTCTGAAAGTTGCATGAGAATTGACCCCTTTCCAGTGCATAAATACTTTTTTTTTGGGGGGGGGGGTGGGTGGAGGGGTGGATGAGAGAGAGAAAACCCTTAGAAGCACATAACCCAAAGTAATAAACACCGTCGATAAACCTCATCTTCAAACATTGCGTTCAAAAACGATATCCTTGCAGAATCATGAGCTTATAAATGTACAAAAAACAATGTTATTCTTCTGAATTGAGCCAGCTTCCAGAAAAAGGAAGCAAAAATGCATGGCAATACAAACCAACAAGATTCCCCAAGTGGGAATGACCAAATCTTATGTTTTAAAAGGTAAATGCTGTCAGAAAATGACTCTCCATTGATCATTCAACTTTTATCTCAAGCATGATAAACTTACATTCAGTTCAACTATCATTTCCAAATAATATAATGACTCTCCATTGACTTTTGACTTAAAGAGCAAAAAATGAACGTACATATATCAAAGACATCTATACCCAACACTCATACCCAAGTCTGAGTAACACAGATACTAAATGCACATAACTTAAGGTTACAGCATGGCAGAAATGAATACTGGAATTCCTTTGAGATCAAGAGAAGTGGGAACCTGAAGTAAAACAACTAGATGAAAATATAACCAAGAGCGGGCTAGATGAAAGATTTCCCGCCATTGAACTTTTTAAATCTCTCCAAAAGTGAAGAAACAAATTTTCAGTTTACCACACCTCTATAGTTTTTGCTCTTTCATTTCTCATCCTTCTTTTACAAAAACAAATAGCCTAACAAAGTCTTACTGGGTCCACTTAAGGTAAAAAATTTCAGCATTTCAGCTGCGAACCAAATCAAAGTAATGTGATTATTGATTAAAGATATGACAAATCCAAAGAAAACCCCTCCAAACTCGTTTTCGGTAATATGAAAAAGAGAACACACTTTTATCCCTGTTTATAGCATCTTTTCTTTTTCAGATGCAATAGTATATTCTCTTTTTCATTTTTACCTTTCCAAAACAAAGGAAATAAATAATTAACTTTACAAGAGCATCACAGCCTTTAAAGATTAATGTCACATTTTGAATGTACGTTCATTAAAGAGGCTGAGAACCTTAAAATGATACACAAACATCACATGTGATGCAAAAACAAAGATAAAAGGATAAGAGCATTGTAAATAAAATACCTCATCTCTGTCGAAGTTCTCGCTGCTATGAGGGTCAAAGAGTACATCACCCGTTGCAAGCTCAAAACAAATGCAAGCAAATGACCAAAGGTCTGCTGACGTAGAATACTTAGATCCCAGGATCACCTCAGGACATCTATACTGTCGCGTCTGGATATCATTAGTAAACTGTTTATATGTCCAACATGCATTCCCGAAGTCAACTAATTTGCATTTTAAGTCAACTGATGCCAACAGTTTCCGCCTTGTGGAGCGGCTTCCTCTCTTATTACCTTGACTTGCTTGACCAGTATCCTTTGTACCATCAGCATCAGACAATCTATTGGCAATGCTAGAACTAGTGGGACGATCTTCAACAGAGCTCACATTTGGGTTTTCACTCGTAGATGACTCAGCTGCACCAGATGTTTCAGGGTCCATACCGGCTCCTGCAGAAACTTCCTTCGCCACACACCCTTGAGCTGCTCGCTTAGCCTTTCTCCGAATCTTTTTCTTTTGATATCTACTCAAGTCCCCATTCATAGACTTCAAAGAGTCCAGCAAAATCTTGTCCTTGCTACCGGGAAGGATGAGAGGAGTTCCTGACTTTCTTGGATCTTTAGACGGATCGATCATTGACAAGAGTAATATATTTTCAGGCTTCAGATCAGTGTGTATAATGGAAAGCTCCCTATGCAAGTAATCCAAGCCTACTAGAATATGAACACATATCTCCTTGACCATATGAACAGGCATGCCACGATAATCCGAGTACTTGATGAGCGTCAAGAGATTATCTCCCAGGTATTCAAACACCATACAAACATGCTGTCCGTTTGGACCTGAATGCTTAAAATGATCTAAAAGCTTCACTACACATTTTTTATCCTCTTTATCCCCATCTGCAATCTGTTGTAAGATCGTTATCTCATCCATTGCCGCCTCAGTATAATGCTGAGCACTTTTTTGTACTTTCAAAGCTACATAACGCTGTAGTTAAAAAAATATATATTAAAGCCCAACATAAAGAAAAGCAGTTTACCTAAGTTTTGAAAAAGAATAAATCATATTTTCTAGAGATTTTTGCTGTTTCATTGTCAAAACTGAAGAAGCAAACAAATGCATTATCTGAGAATTCAGATAAAAGCTTCTTCTTTTTACTCAGCTCAGATAAAGCCTTTTAATTGGTTCTTTTAACCCTGCATATTCTCTCTTCTATAATTTCTAAACAACAAGTCAATCAAAATATTACTCACAAAAAAAAGAAAAATAGTTTTTTTTGGGGGATAAATTTATTCAATTACAGAATCGGAAAGCACAATAACCAGATATTACTAAAAGAAACAAAAGAACTACAGCTAAGAAGACAAAGCTAACTTGTAGATTAAAGTAGATAGATTAAGCTGATCACGAAGAGAAAGGGATGTACAGAGAGCTGAGTGTCCCAAGCGAGCCAAACGGTGGAAAAATGGCCCCAACCGAGCTTGCTTTGGACAACGTAACGTCCGTTCTTGAAAGTGTCGTCGATTCTAACGGCGTGATAACCGCCTCGCCGGTAATCTTCCGCCCCTTCGTCTTCCGACGTGTGATCGTCGCTCTCACTTCCGCTCCACTCTTCTTCCTCCTTGTCTCCCATTCCCTCCTCTTTCAAATCTAAAAAAATAAACTAAAAACTATTTCTTTTACAAAAATTAAAAAAAAAATCAACAGTTTGTCGATGAGATTGAGCTGGATAAGTACATGTTGCAGCTACTGTTAAGAAAGAGAGAGGGAATTTCCTTTTTCTATTTGGAATGAAGGGAAAAAAATAAAGAAGAAAAGAAAAAGACGCTGTTGTTTTTTGTGTGGGCTGTGTTATGTCTATGTCGGGAGCGACGGGAGGTACTTTGAAACGGGTTTCTTTTCTTTTCCTTTTTATTAATTATTTTAGGGTAAATTCAGTAAGATACCACCAAACTTTTTCTATTAAATCATTTATATAACTAAACTTTTAATTTCTCTAATTATAATACTAAACTTTAATTTTATATTCAATTATATCACTTGACCGTTAAGTCTTTAACAGCACAATGATATAGACGTTGCTTGTCGTGACAGTGACGACATATATCATTTAATAATATTATTTCATCCAAATAGGATCTATGCAAGTTTTTTTATATTTTTTAATTCATACAAAACTCAGTCAATTTAAAACCTGTAATCCCTAATTCATTTTACCCTAAATCTCAAATAGGAAACTCGCGGTGGCACTGGCATACCTCTGGAACTCTTGCTCAATGGACTCATGGTGTTAAATTTCAAGACCACTGAAAGTCATCTTCAGCGAACCCGCAAACTACTGGACTGACCATGAATTGGGGCAACATCGCTTCCGAACTCATCTAGCTCAACGGTGGACTGGAACTACATTTTCATTTTCTTTTTGTGAAGTTCTGTTAAAAAAGTTGTTCAAGTTTCTCATAACCATTTTATACTCCTGGCACCAAGCATAAGAAAATGATCAAATGAATGATAAGATCTTTAAAAAGTGTATGCATTACACGATGGTGCAATATCTGTCTCTATCTTAGAATTGTGAGAAACATTAATATAAAATGATTGCATATTATGAATAATTTGTGGAGGACACACTTTAGACTGGGGATCTTGAAGACTATGCAAATTGCAATGCCTCAAATGCGGTGTTTTTCTTGAAAAATCACCGGTGATTGGTATATTTACCGATTAATACCGGTCAAATTATATTTCCCGATCTAACAACCGTAGCAGTAAAGCGCGCCCCCTGAACCGCGCTATATGTTGATTTGGGCCACGTGGAGTATAGCGCGCCCCCTGTACCGCGCAATACGCTGACTGGGTTACACGTGGGGTATAGCGCGGATCAGGGGGCGCTATACGCCGAACAAAAACTATATTTAACGCGGTCTCTGGTCCGCGCTATATAATAATTACATATAACGCGGTGCAGGTACCGCGCCTTATATGTTTATATAAATACACTCCTCCGGTTCTCACATCTCCTTGCATCTCTCCTCTCTTATAAATTAATACAACAATTCCGTCAACGAGTAATAATTCTGACAATCTTCTCATATTTGATTTAGAAATTCGTGCGATTTTTCGTTATAAGGTAATTTTGTTATAATTTTTTAATTATACTTATTGTTTATTATCATTATTTGAAAAAATATTATACTAATTATTTTAATTAATTTTTATGTTTGTAAAATTGAAAAGAGGGAGCATACGTCAAAATAGTTTTGCGGTGCATGTAATAATATAAAATTATATTATTTAAATTATTTACGTTGATGTGTAAAAAAAATTTTGTGTTATATTTTCGTTCATATATAATTTATTTAATCAGGTTTGTTTCAGTTATTTTTTTTGCATATATAATATTGTTGTACTTTTAAACTCAAAGAATGGCGCGACTTTCAGCTATTGTTTATTATGATGGTGAAATTTGAGAAGATGAAACCGGCGTTGTTTTCGTATCAAATGAGCGTGTTAAAATATCATTCAAGAGAAACATAACTTTTGAGGAGCTGATAACGAAGATTTCGAGGAAGATTCATGTTGGAAGTAGTAGAAGAATGTCGTCGTTGTAGTACAGATTTCCAACATCATTGTTGCCATTAACTTATACAGCGTTCGAACTTTCGAACAATAATGATGTTCAAATGATGGTTGAAGCTCAAAGTAATTATTCAGACGCCACTATTGAGATGTATGCACATTTTGTTCAAGTGCGTGCTGTTTGGGGTCAATCTTTAAGCTCACACTATGGGCTGGCTGAACAAGTTGATCAAGTTGACAGCCCGACTACAGTAATGTGTAATGATTTTAATGCCAAAATGGGGAGACATTCATCCGCAACTCCTTATGATATGTACCGAGGTGGGTCCACGAACAATCCGTATGGCAACACCGCGTCCAGTTCAAGGGGAAGGCATTCATCTGCAAATTTCTTTGACCAAATGGAGATGCCATCGACGCAACCATCTGTGCAGTTTCCATTTGACACGATGGCTTAAAGCTCCAGTGGGAGGCATTCGACTGCGAGCTTTTTCGATCTGAATGTCGATATGTCTTCCAGTTCAAGGGGAAGGCATGCAAGTAGTAGGTTCTTCGACCTAAATGTGGAGAGCATGGAGGAACCATCATCTTCACCAGAAGAATCGCTTCGTGAGCCTGGTGCGGATGGTGCTGAGACTGGACTATTCATTCACCCAGAATCACCGCAATTCAACTCCGATGATGATGAAGTTCCAGGAAATGTGGCACAAACTGACCCTCCTGCTGACATGTACTTTACGGTGATTGGTGAGTATTTCAAGCAAAAAGAAGAAGCAATGATGGCTATAAAAAATTACAATATCTGTAATTCTGTTCAGTCCAGAATCAACCGATCATCGACCGAAAAATATGTATGCTACTGTGCCCGACGTGAAAACGGATGCAATTGGATGGTTCGTGTATCGAAAATGAAGAGGAAAAACAACATATGGGAACTAATAGTATACAACGGTCCTCACACATGTTGTGCTGGAGGGGTCAACCAAGATCATCCCAACTTGGACTCTGAAGTGATATGTCAAGCCATTATGCCCATGGTAAAAGCAAGCTCTCATATAGCTATTGCAGTGTTGATTTCAGCTATACAATCGCAGTATGGGTACACTATCTCCTATAAAAAAGTTTGGTTGGCAAAACAAAATGCCATTGTCAAACTTCATGGCGAATGGGATGCATCTTACAACGAACTTCCAGGTTGGTTTAGGCTGCTGCAGATATTGAATCCTGGGATAATTGTGGACTTCGAAACCTCCTATACATACCATAATGATCGAGTTCTTCGCGATCGATGCCAATTCTACCGAGTTTTTTAGAGTTACCCACAGTGCGTTAATGCAGCCAAATACTGCAAGCTGTGGTCCAGATCGACGGGACTTTCTTGTATGGAAAATACAAGCAAGTTTTATTATTGGCAGTTATCCAAGATGGCAATCGCAACATTCTTCCAGTTGCTTTTGCTCTTGTCGAAGGAGAAGATACAGATTCTTGGGCTTTTTTCCTCCGAAATTTACGTGCACATGTTATCACGAGGGAAAAAATCTGTGTCATTTCAGATCGCGGAGCTGGGATCAAAGCAGCAATGAAGTATTTGGGTCCAATGTGGCAATCACCCTTTGTCCAAGGTATTGTCTTCGACACATTGCTGCGAACTATCATTGAAGGTACAAGAAGAATGATGAGCGTCAATTAATTGTGCACATGGGTAAGTGAAAGCAAGTTAGTAAGTTATACATTTTTTTGATCATTTTAATTTTGCAAAGAAAACAAGTTTGTAAGTTATACATTTTTTGATCAGGTTACGAACTACTTCCTCGAACGTTTGAATCAATGCTTCAAGATTTGCGGGCGAAGGACGAGGAAGGATACGATTACATCAGCCTCATCGATAAAGAAATGTGGACGAACGCATATGATGGTGGATATCGATATGAACACATGACGACCAACTTGGCTGAGGCAATCAATTCAACCTTAAAGGGTGCATGTCACTTACCTGTAGCGGCTTTGGTAAAAACTACATATTTTTATTTGGGGGTGTTTTTTGCGAAGCTCGGGGGACAAGCTCAAACCTGGATGCATGGCGTTCATGTCTATCACCCTAGATTAGTTGCAGATCTACATAAAAAAATTGTTGTATCAAATGGAATGTCTGTAACAAGCTTCTCTAGAAGGCATGAAATGTTTCGTGTCACAGAGCTGTCGCGACCTCTTCAAGGGATTGAAGCTGTGTCGTTAAGAGTACATCTAAGGGACAGAACGTGCGACTGCGGGTTTTTTCAAGCTCTGAAGTATCTATGCTCTCATGTGATAGCAGCTTGCTCGCATACACGTCAAGACTATAACCATTTTGTGGATCCCGTATACTTACTATCTAAAGTTTTTAAGGTATACGAATTTGAGTTTCCCCCATAGGTAATGACAAAGACCCTGATGAGGTTCAAGATTGGCTTTCGATTGTACCAAATCTGAGTTTATTGAGGGAGCGTGGTCGTCCAAAATCCAATGAATTCATTGCGATATGGATATTCGAGAAAGATCTAGACAAGACAGAAGATGTGGCCATTGTAGAAACCCAGGACACACTAGAAAAACATGTCCACTTCATTGCTCTCATGTGTATTTGTTTATCAAATAATAATTCTTGTATTTTAATTTGCATTTACTTCAAGTTAATGTCATTCGATAATAGCTGATGAAGATTAAAAAAATGAACACAATCATTAAATTTTATCAAACTAATAACAATTTAACAAAATTAAATGGTAATAAACAAAATTAACTGAAATATTTAAAAAAGTCCAACAAATTTAACAAAATAAAGTAAGTATTAATGAGAAATAATAAAAAATAAATTAAACAAAATAAAGTAAATACAAATATAATAAAAAAATCTATCGATGCATGCGTCGCGAATGTGTTCCGCAGGGCAGTGGCTATCGGTCTCGAGGAGGATTTCTTCGTATCACTTGTTCTGACTCCTCACTGTCATCGTCGTCGTCGTCGTCATCATCGTCGTCGTCGTCGTCGTCGTCCTGAGCAGGTACATTAGGTTGATGAAGAGCTGATGACAATGAAGTGCCCCCATAGAATAAGACCTGGAGGTGTATGACTTACTATCCAACCGGCCTGCGAAACTGGAAAAACTGGGAAAACAGACATCGCTGAGTGTGAAAACTGTACAAGAGGTGTCTGTGCTGCGGCCATGGGTAATGAGGCTGAATTTGCCAAATATCCAGCATATAAACCCCAAGTCGGATATGCAAACATAGACTCATAATAGCCTCCAGGAGGGGCCATCTGTGACGGTGGCGGGGTCATAAAACCATGTGAAGGAGGCGGTATCTGGTAATGGAAAGGTGATGACATCATCATATATGGCTGCGGTGGCTGCTGGGAAGGTCCTGCTGGTGCAGCTGAGGATGAACCGGAAGCACCTGCTCTCCATCCACGAGTCGGGGGACGATGGTGCTGTGTCGGTGAATGTCTCTGTCAACGTCGTGGAAAGGTCTGCCCTCGTGCATCCTCGGGAAGTAGAAACAGTTTCCCGTTACTGTTGAACCACTCATAATAATCCTCAGCATACATCAAAATGTCATAAAAAATTGGCTCTCTACAGGGAAGACGCCGATGTCGATCCTCCCACAACACGACCCACTCATGATGCCTCACCAGCCAATCTCTATCTGTCTTGTCGCGTCTATCTAAGCTATGCAACTCGTCCATATTGCGAGGTGCTTCCGGAATTGGTTGAAAACAACCAAACTGTCGGAGCACGCGATCAGTGGAATGCCACTCGATGGTTGCATAACAGATCAGAGGGACCATCGCCATCCAAACATCTGATGGACCCCTCAATTCAGGTGGGATCACCGCCCTCACATCATCAGTAGAATATGACACCCATTCAAACTAAAACAAATAATATATAATTTTTATCAAAATAATAATCTAATTATATAACTATAATCTAAAATCGATTTTTAAACATTAAAATTCATACCTGTGTGCCAGCCTTCTGATCGATTAGTACCCTAATTTTTTCTAATCATCAGGTAGCTCCTGATAAAAAATTTTATACGCTGTATAAAATTATTAATATACAAAATCAGTTTTATAATTACCTCAGAAGTAGTGGAAATACAAATGGGTTCTTCACAACGGGACATAAAAAGGGCAATCGATACCATGCCCAAGACTGCAGCAGCAGGAGACATCCGCCGATAGCATTACGCCTGTAGTCAGTGGCTTTACACATCTCCCTGTATAGCAAAGCCAAAACTCGAGCCCCAACTAATGATCCGACGAGACGAAAGTCGCTAAGATATCGCAACCACATACAGTGAACTAGGTTGCGCGATTTGTCCGGCATCAGCAACCCTCCTATCAGCTGCAGTATGCATGCATGTGCATACATCTTAACCTCATCCTCAGAGGCGTCTGTGCTCAACTCCCGAAAATTGGCATCTAACAAATTTAACGGTATCCTACCTCCGATAAAATTTTCCAGGACACGTCCTAGACTATCCCGACACAAAGTAGTCCAAGAACCGGAAGCTATCCCCGATATCATATCTCCATCCACTAAAAGCCCTAGGTGCATATAAACATCCTCAAGC